TATGGGGACCTAAAGAAAATTGGAATTATGATCAAGTCCTGACTGGAGTATCATGTGAGTCTTGATCATCTCAGGCAGCATATTGAATCTGTTCTAGATGTAGAACTCAGAAATCTAGGCCATCTGTTCCTACCGGAGATTTGTCAGGTGGTCTTCCTTGATCAAACCTGATTTCTCTTAACTCAGAATGAATCCACAGCCTCTCATTTCCTGTGGAAACAAAAGCAAGATCTCTTCTCCAAAGTAACGTACATTTAGACTTCAATTTTGAAGTCACGGTATTTTCAAAATACTTATCTTGGATTAATTCAGCAGCATTTATAAGCAAATATCTTTTAGCAGCTGTTTCTCCTTCCTCAGCATTCAAACAATTTAAAGAGAGCATAATAACATACAGTATCCAGACTCTCTGTGCATTTTCATCTTTATGTGGCTTTATTTTAACCTCTATTTCTTTTATTTTTACTTTTTGGCTTTTTGAGACAGGTTCTCTGGTGTGGGAGAATTGTCTGTATTTTGTCAACCATGTTTTAAATAAACACTGATTGGCCAGGCAAGAAGTATAGGCTGGTCAACCAGACAGGAAGTAGAGGCGGGACGATGAGAACAGGAGTATTCTGGGAAGCAGGAAGCTCCCTCCGCATTCCTGCCCAGTCCACTAAGAAGCAACATGTGACCTGCCCTGCTCTAAAAGGTACTGAACCATGTGACTAGCATAGATAAGAACAATGGGTTAATATAAGCTACAAGAGCTAATAAGAAGACTGAACTAATGGGCCAATCAGTTTATATCCTAATGTAGACTCTGTGTGATTTTCCTGTGGGAAACTGGGCAGGGTAGAAACCCCAATGAGCAGGCCCTTCATGTTACAGTTCTCTGTGTATCTTTGTCCTGGAACTAACTCTGTAGACCAGACTGTCCTTGAACCAGAGATATGCCTGCCTCTGTCTCCCAAGTGCTAGGATTAAAGGCATGTGCCTCCACACCTTGAACTTACAGAGGTCTGTCTGCCCCTGTCTCCCAAGTGTTGGGATTAAAGGTGTGTACTGCCACACCCAACTACTCTCTTTCTTTCTTTTTTATTTTAAGGACTTTAACCTTTTTCTTTTCTCTCCCAAGCCTGCATATATTTTTTAACACATTTTAAACCATTTAGAGGTTTTCTTTGTATCTCTCTTTACTGTATCTCTCTCTCTTTTTCTGACCATGTGAATCTTTAATTTGCTAAGCAATATAGAAAGGATTAAAGCCATGGCTTTGACACTTAGCTTTCTGAGATTCCAGTCTCATGGCAGAAGTACCAGCTGTAGCCATGTTTATTGCCACAACTCTATGGCGTTTCAAGGTCCCTGCCAGCAAGCAAGCTGCAGCAGTGTGCTCACAAACCACTCTCAAATGCTCTGTAGCTGGACCTCCTGCCTGAAAGAGTCAGAGTTTGTGCTGGCAGGATGGCCCAGAAAGCCAGCATTTTAAAACAGTGCACTTTTGTCCTGTTACAGCTGAAAACCAAAAAAACATGCAGTCAGCTTTTTATCAACACTATTTAAGTGTTTCTTGTCAGGACCTCTTAAAAGAGTTGCAAGGTTTTGCAGCTAAAGCTGAGTCAGGAAGACTCTCTTAAATGAGGCACATTTGCCTCTAGCAAACAGAGCCCACCTGAGAAAATGCTGCTATCAATAAGCTGTGCTTAACTCTATTCTTTTTTGTCTAGAATTACTTCCCAAGCTCTGTCACACTTTATGTGGATGCAGTTGTTCATGTGGGTGCCATTCTGCTGTCTAATTTTCTGTCCAAACTTCCTGCCTGGCTACTGGCCAATCAGCATTTATTTGAAATATAATTGACAGAATATAGACAGTTGCCCTGCACCATACCATGGCTTCTTCTTATTCCCAAGAGCTTGTCATGTGAACTGAACCTACTATGTCACTTAGCTCTGCTCCTTTGGGATATTATGAGTCCCACCAAAATCAGAGATGCTGTCATTTCCAACTGTCATCTGTACACAGTAGTTAGCTAGGTTTCTCTCACTAAATGACTTTCTTGGTCTCCAGGATAGGGGCATATGCTTGAGTTCTGCCTGTGCTCAGATGGAAACAGACTGGTCATACTTATTTGTCCATTCTGACATCCTCACTGTCTAGAGGTTCGGAATCTTCCTTTAGACTGTATCAAGAAAGGTGTCTGATCTCATTGGCTGTAGATGCTGAAATGCCTTGTTAAGTGTCTCATGAAATTAACTATCAATTACTCTTAAGCATTTAAATATAATGGCTGTAAGTGCTGAAATGCCTTGTTAAGTGTCTCATGGAATTAACTATTAATAACCCTTAAGCCTTTATATACAACCAGCTATACCAGCTCTGGGGGGCATCCCTTTCCATTTCTGCACCCCTAAAATAGATTACCACTCATGTCCCCAGGCTCCTATCTGTTCGGAGTGCCTGCTGCTTTCTGGGGTACAGGTCTTGGGCATTTCCTTCTGAACCGGGTATTCTGTAAATCTGCTTCAGACATGAGAAGAGGAGGGAGGGGTGCCATCCTGAGGATAGTATCCCACAGAAGCCACGGCTTCAGAAAATTCACTGGAGAGTTTACAGAAAAGATAAGAGGACAGGATACTGGGGCAGAGTTCCACATCTTGGTTCTTTGTGACGTTTCCCCTTCTAAATAGCACTGCCAGGTGGTGGGTATGACCTGGGGTCACAGTCATTCTGCTTCTGAGCAGGAGAAAGTACTTCACCTAATTCACAGATCAAACCACCAAGCAAGAGAACAGCCAAATGCCCCGTCGTCGTTGTGTTTTCGTGGCTATTGTTTTGTTTTGGTTGTAGCTGTTATTGATTTATATTGGTTCCTACAAAACACAGGTGACCCCAGACTGACGTTTTGGCACATTTTAAGGATATTTTCTGGATAGTGAACCCTCTCAAAAATAAGTAATGTTAAATTCGTTAGATGTCTAAGATATCCAAAGAATTGCCTCTGTGGTCTCCTCCACACAACCAGGGTTATGCAGGGGCTGAATGGCATGTGACGTCACCCTCGAAGCTTTCAGGGTTTTTTTTCTTTTTGCCTTTTGCTAAGTATGTCAAGTCCCAGCTATTTCCTGGATACACTGGTGACAAAGCCAGGACGTCCATGACCAGATGCTTAATGGAGTGTATGAGTGGGTGTGCGCGGTCTGTCCTCTATAACAGCCACCTGTTCTGGTGTTCCCTGTTGCTGCTGTGGCTCTGACCTTCCTCTGATCACAAAGAGCTGGGCCACAACTCTAAGAAGGAGTTAATGAGCATGGCAGGTTCTCCATTGCTCAAGCATAAGATCAGTCTCAGTTCCATCAGGAGTCCTGGTGTGAGTCCTGGGGGTCTGTCCTGCCTGGGAAGTGGCCTGCGCTAACAGCACCTCACATTCTCCACTGCCCCCCACTCCTGTGCATTGCTCATCCAGGAAGAGAAAAACTAACATGCGAAGTATCAATTCCCAACCTGGCTTTGTTCTTAGAAAAATGTGTCTCATTCCCATGAACCCAAGTGTGATGGAGCAGCTTCTACCATCCCCCGAGCTATTACCCCAGGGTAGTTGTTTTTCTGTTTGATTGTATTGTTTGTGGTGATACTGTATCCAATTTTCTTCTTTGGTCTGCTTTATTGTTTTTGTTTAAGCATCTACCTATCTACCTATGAAGCCCAAACTGGATTGTTCTAAATTGTCCCCTTAATAATGACTGGTATTAGTATTGTATGTCAAGACTGCCAACTGTGCCTGTGTCAAGAGGGCCAATGTGCGACCTTCAGATAGTCTTAGATCCTAGCCACTTATGGTGCCAGAATAGGACTAGACCCCCCAAACTATTTTTTGGTGATAATATAATACTTCTCCATTCCTTTTTTCCCTCAGAACTTTCCCTTATAGCCTTTCATGTTCCCTTTCAAATTTATGGCCTCCTTTTCCATTAATTGTTATTGTATGCATGAACATATATGTATACACACCCACACATCCTTAAATATAAGCTGCTCAGTCTTTATAACGGTCCTTGTACTTACTTGTTTGGTCCTAACCATTGGTTGTTAGATAATGGGTTGGTGTGTTCTTCCCTTTGGAGACTATTTCTCCCCAGTCTGGGCATTTGTATGTAGTTCTGAGGCCCCACGTGTTTCCTCCTGTCCACTTTGGCATGCCTACTGGCATCCTTGTTCCACTCATGTTTAGGCAGTCATGTTGGTGAGACTTTTTGTGTGTAGCTTGGTACTGAAAACCTAGCCAAGTGCTCAGTGCTAATGAAGTCATGGATACTGGAGGAGGAAAACAATTTAACTAAACCGGCGTAGTCCTTAATGGCAGTCTAAACCAGCACTGATGTAAGTCCTGGAGGACTGTCCTGCATCTATAAACACTCTGTCCTTGTACCCACAGGAGAGTGTAATCTTTTCCCTTCCTCAAGGAAATGTCTCCTGGCAACAGAAAGAGATCACTGCAGAAAATCACAACCAGTCAAAATGTTGAGCTGTGGAGCCGAGTTCCAATGGATACATCTACAGACCACTCCACCTAAGGCTCAGGGAATGTTGTGGAAGGGGCAGAAAGATCGCAAGAGCCAGAGGATCAGGGAGTTGGCTGTTGAGCCCGTGTCTCCTTGTGATGTCAGGTCATTTCTGGTCAAATCCATTCCCGTGCAGCAGGTGGACCCGGAGGCAGGCACATCTGCCTTGACTCGACTGGACCGAAGTGTCCTGCGTCCCATGGTTGGTTCGAAAGTTCCTGCACATGAGCTTGGGCAGGAGTGGAGAGAGGAGCGTCCCTCAGAACTAACCCTTTCAACTTTACTGCCATAACCACCCCGACCTACTCCCCCAGGTGCAGAATCTGCTATGGCGTCTGGCTCCCAAGAGATGCGCATCGGAGAGCGGCAGTTGCTGGCAGTGATCACCCGGTTGGGGCTCAAACTAAAAGGATGTGCAGTTCAGTATTTCTGACAACATGTGCATTTATTTGTATCAGAAGTACAAACATAGGAATCCAAATACAAATACAGAGGGCGACCCAGCCACGAGGCTCAGCTAGCTTCTGGCTGGGCTTAGCCCCGAGGGCTCGGCGGGGTCGCGACGTGCAAGGCAGGGCGCGGTGCCGCCGGGGGTTGCCAAGGCACGTTGGGCACAAGGGCGCCCTCGCTTCACTAGGACACCACGAGATGCAGGGTACAGGGACTCACGTTTTCTGGTGGAGAGGATGACTCTCAGGGACAACAGAGCACCCAGGGCTCTTAAAAGCTACTCGTGAGGGGCCATCCTCTGACCCCGACCATACCTCTCTGAGGGGCCAGCTCTTAGGCAGGGCAGCCGAACCCTTCTACTCATCCCTTGCTCAGAACTGATGTTGCAATGCAGTGGGATTCTGGGATCAGTCCACCGTAGGCTCCACAGGCTGCAAGGGCTCCAAGGAGACAGAGTAGACTCCAAATCTTTTTGCCTGAGACATGGCCCAGGACCATGCATGTTTTGCTTAACAGAACGGCCCTGAACACTCTGTGGCTGACACCTAGGCTGAAGGTTCCAGCCAGCTCCCATCCTACCTAGGTTTATCTGTGAACAACTATGTGAATTCTCAAATATCATCTAAATATTGAGGAGGACTTTCACCTCATCAGAGAAACCTGGTCACAGTGCACAAAAAAATCAAGGCACCCAAGCAACTCTGTGATGCTTACATGTTCTCCACATCGGCTTTTGGTCAGGCATCTCATCTTGATTTTTTTTTAAAAAAGTATTTGATCCCATATTTTGGGAAAATACAATGATTGTCTCTTACTCTATCTGGGCCCCTCTTTCCATTCCCCCCCCCCATTTCCTGTTTGCCTGAACCAGAGGCTCACTAATCTAACATGCTATCACTAGGAAGCTGTGCTCCTAAGTGTTTCAACTACATTTGGGGTGACAAGTAGAGTAACGCACACATTAATAAGTTGTCCAGTTTTACCGCTGTACACACAAACACAGAAACACACGCCACACTGCATGTAAACACAAGATTCCCCCGTCACTGCAAACAAGATACAGGTCAGTAACCCGAAAACCGCCACACTTCTAGAGTCTTCCACGGAAAACACAAACAAACAAAGCTTCACTAAGTCCAGGTACTGCTCGTGAAGACAACAGGTATCTATACACAAACATGTCAGTACATAAACGTGGCTTACTAGTACAATTGGCCACTGTGTCTTTGGGGGCGTTCCCATCATTGCTCTAAGCTGGAGACAAAAAGAAGGAAACAATAGTAAACACATCGCTACTATGTATTTAAAGTGACCATAGCTAAAGAAAATGACAGCAGGGATTGCTGGGCAGTAACTCTAAGACCCAAGTGACAATGCTAGAGACAGAGGAGTGGTTTCTCTGGGCAACAAAACTGGCAGCTTCCAAAGATGCCGCTGCATGAGTAAAAAGAAAGCGTTCCTAGCCGATTAAAATGCTATCTAGAAGGAAACAACCAAAAATGACAGGAAGAAAAGTGACAAGGGAAGAAAGGCCGGGTGGCAGGCACACCTCCCGCGCCGGAAGATGCTCGAAGCGGGGTGGAGGGACTTCTGAGGAAAGAGCAGAAATCTGGACTCTGATCGGACATGAAAATTAAAGTTTTGAAACGCTTGTCGTCATTTTTCTTGATATATGGGCTAATTCTGTTACAGCTTAGAAAAGACACCAAGTCTTTGCATTGCATTGGTAGCTACAGGTTAGGATGTGGACAAGAACCATGGTGGAAGTCATGCCACACCTTTCCTGCGTCTTTGACGGACAAGATGAAAGTTCACTCTTCAAAGTTACGTGCATTTTCTGTTTTTAATCATGGGGTCGGTTTCTTAAGAAGTTATTGTTTGTTTCTTATCTTTCTTCTTCATCTTTAGTTTTAATTTTCCAGACCGCCCTGAAAGCGGAAGGATACAATGATGTGGCGAGCTCACTGGATGTCATCTGTGACTGTCAAGACTAGACAGAGGGTTGGGCAGGCGGGTCTTCCCAATGTGGGGTTCTGTGTCTTGGGGGACTTCACACAAACATAAAATGACAAAAATCTTTCCTCTTAAAAATCTGAACAATTCTTGATAAAAATCTGTTGTAGTAATTATTAATTATTTCAAAGCCCTCATTCTTTGCCCCTGACAATCCCCGATCCCCAATCCCACAGTGGGAAGACTTTTAAAGGATGAGTCTGGAGAATCTTCCCAGCAGATTCCCGTGAGCCAAGATACCAGCTCGATGTCTAAGACAGTGATGTAGGCTGATCTGGGCTCCCGTGACAGTTGACAAGGATGCTTATGAGTGCCTATCCAGTCAACTGTCCTGAGAGATTGTGTAGTAGGTTCAGGCTCATCCCTGCCAGGAGGACTCGCCTGACTCTGCCAGGTGGCAGACGTAGACATTGAGAACTCAGCCTGTTTGGGGAGAAAACCAGAAGGTGGACCCCTGTCACCTCTGTTCCAGCCATGCATGACCTTTTCTGGCTTCCACATCAAGTCTCACAATGCTCATAAAGCTGTAGCTTAGGGTCAAAGTCTTTTTCCCTAAAGTGATTTTGGGATTCACTATATAAAGTCTTGTGTATTAAAAAGTGATCCGTGGTAAATGAGAACTTTCTTTTGTGAATGGAAGCTAATAACAATATCATAATTTTGAGATGTATGGTATTCGGGGAACTGACCTAGCCATGCTGTAAGCACCTGATCTAAGAAATGCATATTTACGAAAATGAGCATTGGCTTTGTTACATTTACTGAGAAGGTACTTCAGTGGGCAGGGCAACCAGGAGATATCTAGATCTAAGCCTGTTATAGGAAATATAAACATTACAGTCATTCCCCCAAATGTGTAGGGGGCTTGTCCCGGGAACCCTCAGGATAAGAGAACCCTCAGTGATACAAGTCCCTTTAATGCACTGGTACATTGTATGCACAGACACTGTGCAATTCTTCCCCACCCGTTCCATCACCATGAGGTGGCTTACATTGCCGAAGACAATTCTACGCCAGTAATAACGACCAAGAGAAATGCCTGCCCGTGCTAGGGATGGACATTCTTGACAGTGGTTGAAATCACAGATTCAGAATACACGGATGCAGAAGGCAGACTGCACTTATTGGCAAAGATAGGAAGAAGCATTTTAAATATTTAGAAAAGAACAAAACGAAGCAGGGACTAACTCAGTTTGAGAGGTTTAGTTGTTGAAAGTCAATCCCCACCCCCAACTCCAACCCCAATCTATCTGCTCAGCTTCAACTACAGAGCAGACAGAGGCCTTTCTTCCCCACAGTAACTCTTGCTGACTCACCCTTGCAGCTTGTTCCCTGGGCCAGGAGAGCCCTGCGCTGTTTACAGCTGCCAAGAGTGAAGGGATAAAGTAGTCTTAACTTTGGTCTTAACTGAATAGACCAAGCAAAGCATTTACAATTGCCTCAGTTACAAACCTTGACCTTTTGCAGCTCCCTTTTGTTTTAGCTTCTAGCCAAAACAACATCCAAACTTTCCTTATTCTGGGTGTGGTGTGGTGTGGTGTGGTGTGGTGTGATGTGTGTCTGTGTGTGTGTGTGTGTGTATAATTATTTACTATAACATTATCTAGAAACACCTGGTTAGCTCAAAGCATGGAAACTTTTTAATAGCCAATAAGAGTTCAATTCAGACTTTTGCACTGATTTGTGTAAGGTGGTTTAAGGCTGGGATTTTATTGCCGGAAAGGTTAACAAAGAGGTTTAAAAGGTTTAAAAGTCTTACTGGGGAGATTAGAACCAAAGAATCATTCTACTAAAAGACACGCTGAAAGCAAATAAACAGAACCATCTTCTCTTTTAACCTTAACAGAATTAGATCAAGCTTTTATCATGGGTTATTACCTTACAAGCTGAAGACAGCTTAAAAGGGGGAAGCAGAAACATTCTAACTTTGATGCTTCAAAGCCATAAAATATTTAAAAGACAAAGCAAGTTCTTATTCTGGGACTAGTGACTGTGTTACCATAACATAGCAAGTCACGGGTCTTTCTTTCCTTCTCTGTGTCCTGTTAGACTCCATGTCTACGATGGAAGGTAAGACAGTGAGGGATCAGAGATGGGAGTGTCCATCTTGCCTGCTTCATGGACATTCGGTTCTTAGGCCATACTTATTCTGGTACTGCCCACCCTGAGACCCGTGTTTACTATGGGCCACTTGTGGTGGCCATTTGAAGGGGACTCAGGGAAAACTGTGAACAAGATCCTTGCTGTGTGTTAGCGTTCCGGTTCTTCCCTTCCTATTCCCAAACACCTTTCCATACAAGTGTGTTCTCACGCTCCAAAACAATCTAGCAGTAGAAATGGAATTCAACATTTCAGTCCTTGCTTAGTGATAGACTATGTTTAGCTCTAGTCTCTTTGCTATTTTAATATGGAAACTTGTATGTTTTTGAATTCTAAGAGAGAAAAAAAAATACTCAAAAACAGTTGCCAAACCACAAGCGGATTCAAGATGCTCGGTGCCTTGCGGGCATTGAAGTGACAGAATGGAGCTCTAGTATCTGGGGACCAGTTGCAATTCTTCAAGTGTCAAAGTTTTCAGTTTGGTATCTGAGATAGACGTGACCAAGGAGGCAGAGGTGTTGTTTGTCTTGTTTTCTAGCCCTTTGGATAGAGTGGACCACTGCTTCCTAGCTGTGATGTGATCTGGGATGACTGGTCCCTTGCTTCCATTCTTTCCAGATGTGGCATTGTGTAGAGCTGCAACACACATCTAAACGTGTTTCTTGGCAGCAGGTTATTACCAGGTCAAACAGTATGGAACAGGGCTGTTCTGTGGACGTTTACCCTCAGGTTCCTACATAGAACTCGAGAATAGTTTGTGGTTAAGGACAAGCGTTTTCATGTATGAAGAACCCGTAAAAGTCTGCAATTAACTCAGTTCATGTGAACATGAACATGCCTGGTTGTCATATGAAAAATGACATCCTATTTTCATTCATGCATTAAAAAAACCAGTAAATTTTAGTATGGATTATGGGTTACTGCAGGAAATAAAAACTTCTGAAAAATGGAAACGGTGGGGGCTATACATTTTATTTTAAGGCATATGTTGGGTAAATTGGGGGTAGTGTTGGCTGGGTCTAGAGTAAATTTATTAACACTGTCCTCTACCCTGCATCTGGGACACCCATGGTGAACCTATCCAGGCTTTGAGAAGACATTTTGCTTTCATTCCCCTAATATGGAAAATACTTTGTTAGTTTTTCTCCATCAACCAGGACGTACTTTAAAGGACGGGCGGTCACAGTTTTCAGTGTGATCCACAGTGGTCGGAAAGCTGGAATCTGTGCTCAGACAGAGCCTACTCATTTGAAGTGCTCCTAAGAGTAAGGGATGCAGTAGCACCTTTGAAAGGCAGGTCGTTCAGACCACTTGCCAAGTGGTCCACAGCTGGACAGGCAAAAGAAATGGAGGGGTGGGGCAGACTAGACAGAGCAGACGAGCTTGGGAGCTGTACACACACAGGTCCCTCTTCATCAAGTAGGAGAGCTAGTGTCTGAGGAGGGGAACATGGCTTACCCTCCTCCGGGTGTACCCTGCCCCTGCTTTGCCTCGAGGGGCAAGCATCTCCCCTGTTCCATGCAATAGAATGGTTTATCCTGGAAATTGGAGCCGACATGGATGATTGAATGTTACTGAGAAACAGGCGTTAGCATGCTCCTGGTCATAGGCTGGCTTTTTCAGTGTTTCGAACAGCATCGCCAAGACTGGGCAGGAGACGATGATGGGCTACGGGTATGTAAGTCTTACATGGAAAAGTCTAAATGTTCACAGGTTTTGAGAGAAGAGGCAACTTCAGAGTTGTCCTAAGATAGCAGGGAGTCAGTTCTGCCACAGTAGATCCTTGTAGGTTTTAATCCTTGAGAAAAAAAAAATTACTAGAAGGTTTAGTTTTCTCCAGAACATTTGAAATGTAACAGGTTAAAATTCTTACTAGAAATTCTAAACTCAGTGTTTGCGATTGCATGTGTTGCTTTGCCTTGGCCTTCAGTACTGTGGGCACCTCCAGAGCCGGCCTGCCAAAGGTAGGTGTTTCAGAGACACAGCTCACTGTATGCAAAACTCCCCCCCCCAATGGAGGAGAAATTCCATTTAAGCCCTCATCATTAGCTTCTTCACCACAGGTGTTTATTAAGTTTTCAGCTGAATTTTCTTGCTAGAGGTCAACTGTCTGGAGCTTTCTGTAGTAACTATGATGCACAACAGTTTTAGAAAGAATTAGCAAAAATACCTAGTTTCAGTTTCCCTATCTCTTCCACGGCCAACATCTTTTCCAAAATCCAACTCAAAACCGTGGGAGATCAGTACTTTTATATATTCTATTTGTATAATATTTTCCTTTTTCTAAGTCATCAGACAGTACGTATAATAGAAACTGGAACTGAGTGACTCTCAATAAAACTAGTTCAGTTTTGTGGAAGCCAAGCACACGGGGATTCTACAGTGAACGCTGTCATCACGCTGAGATATCGCTCAGGAGTGCCAAGGGACACTTCAAAAGGGTCACAGACCTGAAGTACACAAGAGCGTCCGGTCATAGCAAAGAACTAATACCAAGAAGAAAAATGTTTTGTGTTACAAAAATATCAAAAGAGAATTGATCTGGGGGGAGGACATTCTTTGGGATTTTGCTATGTATCCATATTTCAAAGTATAAAACGATTTTTGCTCATCAAAATGTGTAATTCAAGATAACCATTACCCATTTTTTTTTTTTTGCATCTAAAGTTGGTTTGGCTTGAATAGTTAATGCTCACGATTAAATTCTCGTCTACGTTATTTCACACTCTGGAATACAGTTTCAAAACCAAGGCCTGTCCATGTTGCTTGCCTTTGTTTGCAGGATGAAGACAGTTACTGAACCCCGAACAATAATATAAGCTCCACTCCTCATTGAGACTTAGACTTGGTCCTGTCGAACAAGGCTCTTACAAAAACGCTGACATGAAATGCGACTGGTCCAGGAGCCCAGTATACAAACACAGCTGATATCATAAAGTTACTACGTTGTGAGATTCAGAGACAAACAGCAGTTGTGATCTCAGCAACAAGTTTTAAAAGACACATTTTTTTCCCCACAGATGGAAACTTGTGGCTGATACATATGAGCACCTCCCAGGCAGAAAGGAAGGGCACTAGGAGGAGGGTTGCTAGCTGGGCACAGCAGCGCCTGAGCAGACAGACATCACTGAAGAGACCAGAGCTGACTGCGGTACAAGCTGGATCTCGGAGTGAGGTCGGCACGGTTGTGTCTCCAGTGAGGGAGATGCTGTACACACAGGCTCTGGTGCCAAGGAACACAATGGGCAGATACACAAAGGTGAGAGCCTGAGGGAACCTCTGGATATTCGCTTGCATGTCTTACAGGGGTCTTTGCATGGTAACTGGCAGCTTCTAATATCCAAGGCCATTCATAAATATCAGACTACAGGTCAAAGAGGGGAGTAGCAAGAATATCACTTTAAAATGCAATTGCTCTGTGTGTGTGTGTGTGTGTGTGTGTGTGCACATGTGAGTGTCTGTGAGTGAAATATTTATAAAGAATACTTTCTGAGTACCTCCCATGCTGCTAAAGGGTAACAGAACAAACTTGAGTAGTGTCTTCCCTGCTACGTTTTGGTTGGTCACTACGTGTCTGGGGATGGGGGAAGGGAAACACGTAAATCAAGTACTCTCCAGTCATCTTCAGAGCAGCACTTAAAGATACAGGTAGCCCACCCAATAGACCAGGTTGAAGAGCAGGAAGGAGGTGGGGAAGAAGACCCGGGAGTAGGAGTCCAGTTCTGAGACGTCGATGTGGATACGCCCTCTCCTCCACGAGCCGGACCGGCATTCCTCGTAGCAGCAGAAGAAGCTCTGGCAGTCCTTGCCGTCTAGACACTCGTAGACACAGGTGTCCTCGAACTCCTGCCAGTACAGGGAATTGTTTAGCGTGACCATCACTGGTGGCGGAGGCCTCATGTCCAGGAGGGAATAGTTCTGCAGGCACAAGAATAGCACAGCAATCAGGAAAGGCAGGTAGGACGAGCCTGAGGAAGGTCGAGCTCTGCAGGTGACATCTTAGGTCTGCTTTCAGGCAAGAGAGATGCAGGTCATGCCCACCCCACACTTACCCAGAACTGGTCACAACCCATGCTTTGCACCATTGCAGCTCAGTGAACAAGGAAAAACATGTTGCCGTTTTAAAACTTTGTATCCCAGGTTTTTGGGGGAGGGAGAACAATACAGTTTCAAAATATGTTAGCCATTTCGAGGCTCCATTGTGTTACCTTGTAGCAAATGTAGCAAATATGTGCCTATCATAGATTTGTTCCTTGAATTTTAGACCACATGGATACTGAAACATGGGGAGAGAAATATTGTGATTGTTTGTCACTTTAAGAGACAAGCCACGCCCACTCCCTGCGGCCCCTCCCCTCCTCTTGCCATTTTAATTCTCTCTCTGTTCCCTTTGGCCCCAGCGCTCTCCTTCTTCCCCCCTTCCTCCCCCCCCCCTCTCTCACACACACACACATTCTCTCTCTCTCTCCTCTCTTTCCGCCTTCTCCCCTTTTTCCTTCCCATTCCATAACTCAACTAATAAATATTCAATTGTATTCTGTACGATGTATCTGTGCCTCCTACCCGCCGCCTGTTCACACTCCTGGGCTAGCTGGGCACTCACCGCTGCATGACTGGGCCCTGCCCAGGTCTGGTGGCTCTCGGGACCCGCTGCCATTTCCCGGCTGCTCGGGACCAGGCACCGGGACCAGGCACCGGGACCTTGCTGCAAGCTGCTCGGGACCCGCAGGCAAATTCATAACAAATATGACACCTATTTCCTTTTCTTTTGTTTGTGTTTTTTTTTGTTTGTTTGTTTTGTTATTCAATGAAGCCTTCTGGAGTCTTGCCCATGGGAAGCATGTATGTACAAGGATGTTGGAGAGAGTCCAGCTGTAGGCAGGATGCTTTGCATCCAGTGTTCACTGGGAACCTTCAGAGATCCGCTCTGTAGCAGCTCCCACAGCTCTGGGGCATAAGCAGAGGTGGGGGGCATGCTGGGCAAAGCTCTGGTGAGGATGGGCACCAGCTGGCCTCATGCTTCTGAAGCTCAAGTGTATATCAAAACCACGAGAGTCGCCTCTGCCAATTATCCAGCGTATTTGAAAAACATGCGTCTTTCTGGCAAGCTCTGTTTGGGAAAGATCTATCTTTACTAGATGATAGCTCTGTTGAAAGTTTTCTTACATGTGGCTTTGACATTTTGCAGCTAGGCATTCATTTGCTTGGAGAACTGAAACACCCTATACCACATAGTCCCTCAGTGATGGTGTGAATGTGGGCTGTGGGCAAAGGAGGCAATAAACCTTGAGGGAAGACACTGAGCCAGGCTGGGCACCAGCAGTGTCTCCACGGATAGGGACACATCACCAGAAATGGTGACTTCAGCGCTTACAGGAAAATCAGCAGGGAGAGCTCTTGGGGCACAAATGATCTCGGCTTCTTGTTGTAACTTAGGGAAGTGAAGCCCCAGGTTGCTGAAGCCCAGTGGAAGCTCTGTAGTCAATGGCCAGGGGAGCTCCAAGCTCTGTAGCTTGGGAATCTGAAATGAGTTCTGCTTCACAGGACTGAACTAGAACTTAGGACTTGACAGGACAAGCCCTCCATGGCTGTGTTGTGTGCTATGTAAACACTTCTCTCTATGTGCTGTGGGGGCCAGCCATGATAATCTAAGTCTGGGCAGGTCACCCAAAGAAAGTTCTTTACTTCCAACCATTATCATCTGGGACTCTGGCCATCGATAATTTTAAACAAGAGGCCTGAGTCTCAGTAGTTTACCCTGAAGCAATACCTGGTAGCAGGAAAGAACCACAAGCTGAGATAACCCAACCCCCACCCAAGGGCAGGCCATTTAAAGGAAATGCCTGACATTCCAACCACTGTAGATAGGATCACCTGCCAGTGCATCTCACCAGGACACCCCTAGAGGAATGTCAGCCAATCAGGGGTCCTAAACCCCAGAGAACCCTCACCCCCACCTTTACTACTATAGAAACCCAATTCTAATTGAGCTTGGGGCTCTCCAGATATTCCAATACGTTGGCCATGCGGAGAGACCGAGTTACCAAACTTGATTAAAATAAAAGCTCTTTGCTTTTACATATGGGACTCAGTTTCCTTTGTTGGGCATACCAGTACCAGCTCACTTCTCTCAATATTTCAAATTATGCTTAAGAGACACCTAGCAGATGCCTCTCTAGCCTCCTCTTTGGTCCAGCCAGTGTCTGACTCCTCAACCTGCACCAGGCCTATGCCACAGGCCCATGTCCTCCATGGAACACTGGTTCCCAGATACCTGTGAAGGGCATTAGCCTTGCAGTTAGCAAGTTAGGGAGCCAAGACACAGGGCAGTGTAAGCGACTTGTCTCAACCATATATGTGGTCCTGGTCTTGTCTTTATCCCTTGGGGACTTCTCATTTGGGTTTTGTTATTTCTTGGAAGGAACTAAGAGCTGAAGTGGTAATAATTCTATCCAATGGTTAAATGCTCTCCTTTCCGCCCCCGTGGCTGTGTGAGTCTTCATTGGCCGTCAGCCTCGGTGTACCTTGTTAGCTGCGGTGGCACCCTTCGTTGTGAACAGTTGTTATAACTTCTAGATCATGAACCCTTCCATTTTGTCCACAGTTTGCCTTTGTAGGGGAGCGCTCCCCTTTTCTCTGAGTTAAAAGATTCCCGCCTTTCTTTTTGGCAGAATCATTTCTACACCAAAGACATCAATATTTTTCCTCAACACCCAGGCCTCTGGGTGTGAAGATGTGCTCACTGGGCCTCAGGCTACTAGTTCTGATTGGCTTCTGTCTCCCTGCACCTCACTCTCTATGACTTTGTCTAACAGTCATTGGAAGCAGTTTCTGTTGGCTTCTCAGGGCTGACAAGATGCTTGCCCACTACCCTTCTGACAACACCCCCATGACACATATTTGTTGAGTAAAGACTGCATATTTTTTCCTCATGAAAAAATGGTTGAGATGCATAGAGTATATGGCATTGTGAAGAGCTAGAAGCCAGTTATGATGCAAGGTGGCAGGAAACATTCAGTGTAATTAAATCAAGGAATGAGAGTTATGGTTGCACACAAATGCAGCACATGACAGAAGTTGTGTAAACACAACACATGACCTAAGAGCCAGTGGTTTAAAATGGCATTTCTAGGTTTCCATTCCAGTTACTTAACAGCATCGATCGGGGTTGAACTCGCTGCACTCCGTTTCACGTACATTATCTCAAAAGTGCCCAAAAGGAAGTGAGGGTGTCATGCTATTTGTGGGGAAAGAAGGGCATTCAAGCAGGGACATTTAGGCTAGAAGTCACAGGGGGTGGGCAGAGAAAGAAAAGAAAAAAACCAATCTGTGAACATGAAGTGAAAACCAGAATAAACATTGCATTACAAACCGAAGGCTAATGTCTCTAATAGATTCAATATGCAACTACAGGCATTTCAGATCGTCTATAAAATATGACACATATAACAACATAAAGACCTGGGAGATTCCTGCTTCAAACAGTAAAAGAAGTTTGGTCTGGAGAGATGACCATCATTTAGTTTTCTTTAGATTGCATGAATACATAGAACATGAATGTCTGCAGTGTAGCCGGAAGCACACACGCTCCCTCAAGGTCCCCATGAAGACAGGTTCGGACGTTTTCCTTGCTGTGCAAATGTTCTAACTTGGTTACTTTTAGTAATAAACTTTTTTTTTAACGGATCACATGCAGCACTCATTCACATTTATGAGGAAGGTATCTTTCAGTGCAAGCTTAGTTTAGCTAGAGTTCCCAGAAATATTGGCATCCATAAATCTATACATACAGAGGGTGCTTGTAGGCTTAATCGGTCAGGAATCCATCTTGTGGAATCTGGATTTAATAACTGCAAAATAAAAAGAAAGAAAGCAGAGTTGGAAAGTAGCCTTGGAACTCTGCAGTCTTCGGATAAGCCGACTCTAGCGAGGCCGACAGCAGGCGCTGACCCCGGAGAAGTGGGCGGCATCTCCGTCTTAGTGCCCCACCCACAATTCTATTTCACTTCCCGAGATCCCGAAGGACGTAACAGGATTTTGGCACACATTTCCCTTAAACGTCCCTCCTGGTACATCTGGGATACCCTGGCTCTACCAGCCACTCACCGATGCCTTCTTCTTCCTGACGGCTGGCTTTCGACAGCTGGAGTAGTAGTTGAGGGTGGCGTACTCCATCAGGGCGGCAAAGACAAACAAGAAGCACACGGTGACAAAGAGGTCCATGGCGGTGACGTAGGAGACCCGAGGAAGGGACTTCCTGGCAATGGTGCTGAGCGTGGTCATAGTGAGCACTGTGGTGATGCCTGCAGAGAGGACAGCTGTCAGCATCAGGGGACAGTGCACCAGACCCGAAGGCCAAAGGCGACACAAAGTAAGTAACACACAGATTTTTGAACGTTGACTCCGAGTGCTGTCCCAGGCAGGTGATACATGGTGGTGGCTGCCCCACGGCAGCACTTGATAGTGGCAGAGCAGGCTGAGCAGCGTGATCAGCTGCAGGCAGGAGGGGAGCAACCAACAACACAGTGTGCAAGATGAGTCGGAGGGTCAGGAGGGGAGGCACCTCCAGCGCATGTCCCGACTGCATTTCTGATGTGTTACGGGACTGCATTTCTGATGTGTTACGGGACCACGATACAATCCTACATCTACGAACACTTGTAAGACAGATTTTCCTCATTCACTGTTTGTTTCGCATTTCACCTTCTCAGCACTTTCAGACAGAGACGCAGTCTCTAGCCTTCCCAGATGTCCTATGCCGCTCTGCACTCCAGGCTTCCTGCCTGCTCACTATGTAAACTCCTGCCTTTCTGTACTCAGTCCCAGCATCACTCTGAGATGCCCTCTCTGAAAACACGCATGGACCAGTTTTCACACTGGTTTGCCCACTCAGAACCTCTCTGCTGTAATTGGTGAACCTTAGTGGCTCACACCACACACAGTTATTAATTCATAGGGCACACGATCGTGCCTCATTCTGTGTTTCATTTGTTCAGTTTGTCTTCTTGGTTCTGACTTTCCTTCCTGCTGTTCTGTAAGTTACCGCAATCTGTTGACTTCCTTCTTGATGGTTTCAGATTTTAAGGCCCTTGGCTGCATCTGCAGTCCCTATGGTGTCTTTGAGCGCACCATATGGTGTACTATATAAGGGCACAGTGTCACACTGTGCAGCATGTCAAGGGGTCCCCCAATTAGTGTGCACACAGGATTTATCCCCATTTCAACAAAATGCAGACATCTTATTGCTTTTTACTTTTCTATGATTACAGTGTAGTCCTAAATATTTTCTTTAAAGAGTTAAAGTTTATTCAGACCATGTTAGATTCCCAATGGTTGTAAAATTCAGGTTGAGAGTCTGTTTCCTTCGGGCCTCTATGGCTTCAACAAGAACCTGTTGTCATTCAGGCTGTGATGCCCTGTAGGAAGGATCATGTCCTTTTTTCTCTACTACCTTTTTTTTTTTTTGGTTTCTCTGTCCTGCCCAGTTTCCACAGCTGTTTAGACCCAAAGAAAATCACAAAGAGGTCTCCATAAGTTATAAGCTGATTGGCCCATTAGCTCAGGCTTCTTATTAGCTCTTATGACTTATATTAACCCACTATTCTGATCTATTTTAGCCATATGGCTCAGTACCTTTTTCAGCTGGCAGGTCACATCCTGCTTCCTCAGTGGTCTGTGCAGGACTGGGAGGAATCAATTTTCTCCATCCCAGAATTCTCCTGTTCTCATTGCATCATTTCTACTTCCTGTCTGACTTTCCCATCTATACTTCCTGCCTGGCCAATGAGCATTTATTTAAAATATGATTGACAGAATATAGACAAATCTTCCACACCAAAGAATCCTTTTCCATTTTTGAGTTTGATTATAATTTGTCTTAGCATTAAATTCCTTGGATGTATCATGTTTGAAATTTACTCAGTTCCACGAATATGCACATCTGTCTGCTTTTTGGAAAACTGGAGAAATATTTAGCTACTATTTCTCTGGGTACATTTTCAGCCTAATGGGCTTCTTCTAGGGCCATCTATGGTAGAAATATTAGATTTTATTCTTTGGCATTTCACAGGCTCTGGGGTCGATGTGTTCATATTTCTTCTCCTTGTGGCACAATTTTTTCTTGATTTACAATGAAGTCCACAGACCCTTTCCCCTGGCATGCTATATCTTGGGAGTTATTTCTCTCCGTATGGTGTCGCCTGTCCTAAACACGTATGTGGTTCTCCACTGCACGGTTCTGTCTTCATGAGTTGTGCTCTTGCATTTGCTCACCTCAAGCATGCTTATCAGACATGTTCTCGCTGACCTTTGAGAAGCCTGCTACCCAATGCCAGGACCTTTACTACCTCCAAATTGACATGTTTGATGGTATGAATTTTGATTGTATTTTGGATATCTAGGGAATTAGTGTCTTGATTAAAAGTATTATTCTACGGTAATTAAAAGCTGTTAGAAAAATGTATAGCTCAATAAAATCAATAAAAATTGCATACTTCTAAAAAAAAGTTGTTACAACATTTATTTTGTCCAAAGTCATTAATACAAGGACTCTTATATATAGTCAAAATTTCTTCTAGCCCCATACAATTTTACTAAAGATAAATGGGAAGGAATTTTCAGATGCCTTTATTATATATAACTAGTAAATCTTCATGGTGGTCTATATTGTCCAATAACATGAAGTACATATTTATTCAAATATCTTTTGTGTTCTAAATATTCTCGTTTTCTTCATTTAAACTTTTTGTTTTTTGAGAATTTTTTTTATGTAATCCAATATTAGATTCATAAGTTTTCCACTAGAAATTGCACACTTTCGACTTTACTATCCAAGTGTGTTCTGTGTAAAGCTAACTTTTGTATACGGAGCACGGGGCGGGACCAGTTCTCCTGTTTTTACACCCACACCTACACCACCAAGACCAGCTCTACTGTGTTGCTGAGGGGAGGAGCAGGGGCTACTCTCACAAGTGTTGCACCTGGTGAAGGGGCAGGAAGGGCTTTTCCATTATTCCCTTAGGACAGCTCTCCCAAATGCCACAGGAGGCTGAAGGGTGGGGCAGGGTATCTTTCCCTCACCGGAGCCACCATCTGGCAGATGAATGGTGGGGCCGGAGCTCCCATGCTCATGTTTCCGGACGGGGCTCATCTGCACCCCTGTCAATACAGTCAGTTCTATTGTGCTGCCCAGGTGAGGTGCAGGTCCAGCCTTCCTGAGTGCTGCAGCTGCTGAGGGGGAGGGTTAGCTCCCTCATCTGCTGCAGAGTCAAGAGGGTCATCTCCCTCTTGCTCACACTGCCACATGACAGACTAGTAATGGGGTCGGCTTTCCCAGGCTCACACCCTTGGGGCTAGCTCACCCACATCCCCGCCAACAGAGTTGGCTCTACTGAGCCGCCAAGGCACGATGCAGGGCCTACCAGGATCTTTGAATTAGTCAATTTCATGTCAGACATGGAATCGTGGCAGAACTTGCTATGTACAAGAGTCTCAAAAAATACTTTTATGTCCTCAGAAGATTGAAATGCTTTATCCTATTATTTCAACTGGGACATTTTGCAAATAATGTAGAATTATTATTTTGCAAAGAATGGTAGATGCTCATGCTAGGCTTAGCTGCACTCTCAGCCAGTCACAGTGTGAGACCTTTGCTCTTGGGATCCGAATTTCCAAAACCTTCAAAGACCAATGAAGAAGCAGAACATATCTGAGGCCTGAAGCAGGCTTTGAAGTTTATGCTGGCACAGAGACCGCTGTGAGAGCAGACCTGGGAGTCTGCTTCAGAGACAGGAAAGGGGGCAGTTAGGAGTACAAGCACTAAGACTCCAAACTGCATTAGACTGTATCCTGTGCCCAGCACAAACCACAGTGCCCTGGACAAGCAGATGCTATAGTGCGACAGCCAAGAGCTACATGGCTTGGGTGGACATGGGGGAAGCCACCTACTGCACAGCACCTTTGCCATTGCAGCCAAGAGTGCTGAGGACTGGCAGTCTGTGAAGATCAGTGCAGTTATGCGACAGACCTTTATCCCCCCTCCCCCCCACTCCCATACCATAAGCCTAAAACCAAGTTAACTTGGTTGGACTGGGAAATCATGCTCCGTCCACCATGGCCCATGGCTCTTGAGCTAATGCATATAATTATAAATTATAAACTATAAATTATATGCATTAGCTAAATTATATATAATTTCTTATATGGAGCCCATTCTAAGAAACAAGAAACTTCTCTGATAGTGAATCAGCAATGAGGATCTGAACAATTTCTATGTTCTAACAAGGGAGTTTTATAAAAAATTACATATTTGAAACCTCCTTGGAAGAAAACTACCTATTTTTCTGATGCACACTTTGATTGAATAAAACTTAATGAGAGAGGGGGGAGGGTGAGAGAGACTAAACTTGAATAGTGAGAAAAATCCACATAGCTCTTAAATCAATTACATTTGAATTCTCTTTAATTAAGGTATTTGGTGAATGTTTCTGCATTGAACTTGCACAGAATGGTGGATAAAAATTTTTTTTGCGGCTTACCTAATGTGGTCCTTGCTGGTGTCGCATCTTTTTTGATCCAAAATGACACCCAGGACAGAACCACAGTCAGGATGCAGGGGATGTACGTCTGGATGGTGAAGTAGCCCATTCTGCGACTCAGTTCGAAGTAGATTGTCATGACAACATAATCACCTGCAATAAAGCATTCCCCAAGTCAAGATGTCGTCCATGGGTTAAAATAGAGTGGGGGAAAGGATTTATAATTTAATTTTCTAACTAAATTACTTGGATGAAAACTCCAAGTCCAGCGACACCAGTTGGAAAAAGCATCAAATGCTGGTGCCGCTGAGATGCATCACACCTGTGACTTCGTAAACACGTTCCTGTGCCATGTAAAGGGCACACTGACACGTGTTTATCGACTGGGGACAGGCATGCACATCTTCTAACTGGCGGTTCATCTGATAAGAGGCTGTTGCTAGAGACCGTCTATGTGCCATAGAATTGCATCAAGAGTCACAAGGAACTTCAGTCCTCAAACAGAGCTTGGTCATTCTAAGGCTTTCTGTCTTTAATAACGGCAGAAATGAAATGTCTCCATTTTCATTTGCAATCATCCCATTGCTTTTAGAGAGTGCTGCATGGCAAAATGTCGGTTCTGCCTCCCTGTGGCACTTCAGGGAGAAGACACAGGCATCTCTATATGCGGTGGGCATCCCTACCCATGTCTTCACCATCCTGTCTTCACAGTCACTTAGAACAAAAAGGAAGCGTCGCATATCTTAAAAGAGAAGCATGCAATAACTTCATTAAAATCTGGTTTTACTTCATGCCCAAGGCCATTTTAATCTTAAAGTAATAGTTATCAGAATTATCAAACCATGGGGAAATTTTAAGTATACCAACCATGTAAAAAGTTAATTAGCTAATATGATTGTGTGACAATTAAGTTCTAGAAAATCTTTAGAATAATTATTTGGATTGTTAAGCAGCTGTTACTGAATTAGCTTTAAAAATAGATTTTAATGTTTAAATATTAGTGAGACCATTTCCCTTCTGATACAACCATTTTCTCACACGTTTAAGTTGCAGACATCTATGTTTAGAACCCTGTTTATAACAGACATAGCAGTCCTGTGTTAGTTTCGAACTAGATGAAGGGCCAAGAGCATGGGATGATGTTGCAGAAAAGTTGCATGGAACTCTTACTTCAGCTCCAAAGTCTGAAGAACCAGACACTTGTACTCTGATGTTAAAAACAAGAAAGCAGCATTCAATACATGCACTGAACATCACCACTTTGGGGGTTTCAAAAGGGAAAGGAGATGACAGGGGAGGTCACTATCCCAGAATCTTAATGATGGAGAGAATCCAGAAAGATGCAAAGGATGAGATACCCACAGAAGATGCAGAAGGCATCAGACGCTGGAGGTCAACAAGACACATGTGTCTGAAGGAAATTTGTGGAGGCTTACTGAAGAAAGCCAGAGTGAGAAGCTCCCAAGGCCAGGAGACACGCTCACGCTGGTCACCAAGGCCCTTCCAGTTCCCACTTGGTTCCAGATGTGGGGGAGGGGTCTGAGGAAGCTCCCAGCATACACTGTTTGTCAGAAGTGTAACCATCACAACATATTCACGACATATTCCCAGGACTCTTCAAATGGCTAAGTTTACTAAAACCAAATAGATTCAGACAGATTTTCACAGCCATTAAAACCCAGGATGATTTGCGGACTAAATGCAGCGTAATATCTGTTGTTGCTAAAAGGGGGACTATGGAGAAAAACGAGGAAACCTGGCCATTATGGTTGTCTCCTTAATAATGCTGACTCCACCTTAGCTCATCTGTTTTCAAATGTGCTACAGTGGCCTAGAGAAGCAAGGAAACTGGGCCTGAGGTGCCGAAGGACCCTATGCCATCTGCACAATTTTTTCTGTAAGTCTGAATTTTTTCTATACTGAAATACTCATTAGGATTTTAAATACATATATATATATTTTAAATATATATATTTTAAATATATATATTTAAAACCCTAATATATATATATATATATATATATATATATATATATAAAGACTCTTTATTAGAGGGTTTTCACAATTCTAAGACTTTACAAAAATTTTCAATTTGCCCAAGACCAACCCTTTCACGGTGCATCCATCTGAACAGAGCATCTGCTGGAGAAATGAATGGGGAATGGGTCCGCGGATGACGTAACCTACTCTTGGCCAATTGGAGCAACTTCTTCGCTTGTCTATAGAGATTGCATGCTAACAACTTTTATTGCACCCATCAAAGACGTAAGTTTTCAGGACAAATGAGTAGTCCAAATAGTGAAGCTAGAAGCTGGTGACAAGACGCTGTCTCTAAGCACTGCTTACCTAGGAAAACCACAACCAAACCTGTTATTATCCAGCAATTGCACGCAGCATCAACTTACGTCTGACTTACGAAATGCTAGTTGTGAGGTGTCATGAAAGTGTGGAGCCTTTTTCTGGCTACATTTCCTCTTCCTCCAGTAGTTTGTTTAGTTGTTTGTTTTTCTCTCCAGAGAACGTCCAGATTTTCCAAAGACTGAAGATTCTGCAAAGAGCCACCCTATGGGGCTACTGAGGAAGATGCAGAAAATCTATGCCTGTCCCTCTATATGTTCCATGAAACATGTTCCAACACAGAGGAGCAAGGACAGCCATACTGGTTCACTAAGCCAGAGGCAGAAACCTACCACAATTAAAAGCTAGGGGCAGGGCATCTGGGAAAGACAGAGCACTGTGTGATTGGAGAGATGCAAGACTACGTGGCAAGGCCAGCATTGCATCTTAGAGAGGAATGGGAGTGATTTCAAGAACAAGACCCACAAGCACAGATCCTCTCTAACACTAGGTCTTGTGTTAAAGCATCAGGTGATACCCGAGTTCTCCCTCACTCCAACACCCAGCATAACAAACACGGCCCAGGGTCAGGAGTGAGATCAAAGCAGAGACAGGGCAAAAGATGCGCTCTAAGAAGAGCAGAAAGGAAGATGCAGAGGAAAGTGGGAACCAAGAGACAAAGATGACCTGACACTGAAAAGGTTGTATTTTATTTATGCATATGTGTACGCGGTTAAAGGCAGTTGTCAGCTGTGTGACATGGGTGTTGGGAGCTGAAGTCAGGACACCTTCAAGAGCGGCCACAATCGCTGAGTCCTCTATTCAGCCTCTGGCTGAACTTTTGACTAAATGTGAAAAAAAAAAAAAAAACCTCTCACTACAAGTCATTCAATTCTTCAGTCCACTTCCAAGCATGCAATATGCTTTCCTCAATATCTGCTTCAGTACGAAACACACATAGCTTGCTGGTGAAATTATAGTACCTACAACGCAATCAAGAATAGCAGTCTGGAAAGACAGCCAGCTGAACCAGAACTATGAATGAAAAAACTTAATTAAAATAATCACTCCACACAGTAACCATTCCAGTGGAGACGGTAGAGGGCATGAAAAATAAAAATTGGGTCAGAATTTAAAAAAAAAAAATCAAAAAGAAATGAAAGAAATCCAAAGACCCATTTAGTAAGAGAGATGAAGCAAATCATTGGATGACCACATCCAAACAAACAAACCAATGCACCACTAAACAGGTGAATATGATTATTCACTATGAAACACAAAATGGAATTCGAGTTTAGAAGCCTGAAGAGGGTGAAAAAAACACCATGGGAAAGGAACCAAGATCTTAGTAAACCTAGGTTATTTGACTAATCCACAAAGCTCCAACACCAGGCAGGACAATCCCAAAGCCCACAAAGCAACGAGAGCAATGAAACACACACAGACACATCAAACCTGTGGGACACGGGTAGTGGGTTTGTCTGAGGAAAAGAGACACATGTTTCATGGAGAAAAACAAGGGAAAGGATTGCAAAATTGTACAAGTATATTAGCGGTGTTTCTACTACTGTGATAAAACACCACTCCCAAGGTGTCTGATAGAAGGAAGAGCTCATTGGGGCATGTAGTTGCAGGCAGTTAGGGCCCATATAGGCAGAGTGCAAGCATTGCACCAGGGGCCAGTACCTCCCATCTTAAATCACAAGCTCAAAGCAGAGAGAATAAACTGGAAATGACTCAAGTCTTTAAATTCTCAAAGTCTTCCCCTGAGTCCATACAACCTCCAATAACAGCCACATCTCCCAAGCCTTCCCAAACAGCATCACCATCTGGGGACCAAGTAGTCAAATGCCCAAGACTATGGGGGTCATGTGATTTAACCCACCACCGAAAAAGAGAAGGCAAGGCAAGGAACTTTTTGGAGTCCTCAAATATCACAAAATCGAAACAAAATGAAAGATCCAAAAATGAACTTCAGTGAGAATACCTTTCTAAAAGTGAAGAAAACGTAGAACCCTGAGATCCACGCGATCTAAGGTAATTCCTCAATGTTCAATTTGCTCATGGAAAAAAGAAAACAATTCAAAGATAAAGCATCAGATTTATTCAGACATTTGCATGGGGAAGTGTGTTAGAAATGCAGAAAAGGTGTTAGAAATCCAATAAATGATAATCTCTATTCTTTTCATTAACAGATTTATAAGGTAACGACCACGGCAAACTTAGAGCTCTACATTTTACGGTGACAGCAGAAGAAAGGACAAGGCAGAGAAGCAGCTCTCTAAGAGCTCCAGGGGAGGTGCTGGGAGTGTGCCATTCGGAGGCTCTCACAGGGCTTCACATCAGCAAACCAACATCTGGAAATCTACTCAGAAGGTCAATCTGTATTGTAAGTCCTAAAATAAATGCTAAGCTATTTTAGAGTCATTATAAATAGCAAATCAATGGAGACAGCACCAGGGAGGCACAAAGCTTCTTCATTTAATTTTAAAACAGAAAACAGTGGAGTACAAAATCCAGGGGAGGACATTTTATTTCATCCTATCAACATTCAGCTTAGAGACTAATGGTCTAAACACAGAGAAAAGGAATTCAAGACTGGACTGTATGAGACATAAAAACCACTTCAGATAAAAAGACATACTTCAGTTAAAAGTTTAGAAAAGTAGGGAATAGCTACAATGTCAATAAAGAGCTAGTGTCACCATTTCTGAAGACAGCAGGCTTTAGACCATGGAACAAAGAGAAATGTTACTGATGACAGAGACACAGATTCTGTAGGAAAGCACAATACTGCATAATTCTCTGCCACAGAG